TGTGAGTGGTGGGTGCGGGGCCCAGCCAGCCTGGTCTACAGAGTGAGTTCCAGGACTGTTTCACAAAGAAACCCTGTCTCAAAAAACAAACAAAACCTGCATAGCCTTTCACTAATAAGACTGTTTAAAAGTCTAAGTCTTTTCTGAGACTCAAGACAATCTCTTAATTGCAGCCTCTTGTAATATCAAAAATCAAGCTACATACTTCCTGTAAGGATTCAGGCATTGTGATGGCCTGTCCCCTGTCACCTGGCAGCATGCACTCAGGCAGTACCCTGGCTGGCCCAGGGTTCTATGGCTGCTAAGTCACTATGTAGTCTTCACACAGATGCAAAGGGCCCTTTAAGAGAAAAACTCCACCCACTTCCGCTTTCTTTCTACTGCTCCTCCGAAGGGCGGTCAGGGCTTTTCCTGCCTCCCTCTTCTTCTCTTTCTCCCTCTCTCTCTGTCTCCCTCTTTTTCTCATCTCTCCTCCTCTCCCTTCCCTTTCTCCATTCCCTTCCCTTTCTAATAAAACCTCTCACTTAAGTTCTGTCTGCCCGGCGAGTTTGTTTCTTGCTCGCCATGGGATCCGCCGAGGGATGCACGAAGGTTCCCTCATGCAGTATTGTAACACTTCCAACATACAATGGCACAGAATATGAATCACCACTCGAAAGGGAGTACAGTGAGTAGACCAAAGGAAGACTGAAACCCAACAGGGCAAAACCCAAATCCTGTAGCTCCATGCCTGAGGTCGAAGGGCCTTTCCCTTTGATAGCTCCTCCCTTCCAGCTTTGCTGCCTGAAAGGTACATCTTTCTTTCAGGATGTGTCCGTTTCCTGTACAGCCATGTTGTCAGATATCCCATGGCTCTGGCACCTCTAACGTCTTGGGCTGTCCGATACCATCTAGGCTTCACCTTCACAGCTTTCAAACTGTAGCCTCTTAGGGTCACCAAGCAATGAATCTCTTGCTACACTCCTGCCTCATTGGTTCTCTGTAACAGTGCAGAAAACTCCGCAACCCCTTTATTCTTGTATCCTTCATGACTCCAAAAACTATAGCCATGTGGATGACATCACCAAGTTCGGCTGCTTGCTTGGGTGGAGCCTGCCCCCCTTGAATCGCATTTGCCACATTTTCTCTTTTGTTTTTAGTAGCAGAAAATTCCTTAGGCCTTTTCCTTTCACAAGTTGAAAGCTTAGCTGGGTGGGGTCTTGCTCTAAGGGTCCCTCCCTTCATCCCATGAGGGACCAGGCCTCTCCTTACCCTCCTCATCGCTTTCAGAACAAGTGTTGACTCTAGCAACAATACTCCTTTTCCTTTCAAAATGTTGATTTTGTATTTCTTTTTTCCCCTGCGTGCTCTCTCGTACAGTAGACCTGCATAAGACTCATCACTAATCACCACCTGACCTGAGAGTCAGTATTAGGCTGTCCTGAAATCATCTCTATCAAAGAATTGGTCCATTATTTTGAAATTTAGCCTGAGACAAATTCTTAATACAAGGGCAAGGAGCCACAGTCTTTGCTCAAATATCACAAGAATGGTTTCTAGCCCAGTTGCTAACGCTGTTTCCCTCTGAAGCCTCCTGAGCTAGGCCACCATAGTCCCCATGGCTCTCAGCACGACTATCTTCCAAAGCAGCTACTGCGATGGCTCATTAAACCCTGCTTACAGAATTTAACTGCTTTTCTGGCCTAAGGTTCCAATTCTTCTACATTGCTCCAAGGAACATGTTTCCCAGCAATGGAGGAGATGGAGGTGGAAGTGGAGATGGTGGTGATCATAAGAGAGGAGGAAGTACTAGAGGCTGTAGTTTCAAAAAAAAAAAAAAGGTTTAAAAGATAAGAAAAATGGTTTCAAGTGTGGAAGTGTGAATCATAGCATTTTTTTTTTTTGTACATTGAGCACATTGGTTCATTCACTTAACACATAGTCATTGAACAGATAAAGGTGAGTTAAATATAAGCTGGGTGGTGGCACCCACCATTAATCCCAACACTTGGGAGGCAGAGAGAGGCGTTTCTCCAGGAGTTGGAGGCCAGCCTGGTCTACTGAGCAAGTTCCAGGACAGCCTCCAAAGATACAGAGAAACCCTGTGTCAAAACAACAACAAAAGAGAAGAAAAGAAAAAACCCACATATCTATAATTTCCCTCCCTAGAAACACCACTACAGCTACAATAATAGGGCTTAAAATTACTCTTTTAAGATTTGGATTTATATTTTTATTGTGTTGAAATACACATAGTGTGAATGTTATTCTTTTGATCTTTTTTCCCCAGAGTAAAAATCTGGCTATGTAGTCTAGTATGTCCTCAAACTCATGAGCCTGCTGCCTCTGCCTCCTTAATGCTGGCGTGACATATGTGTACCAGAGTGGATGGCTCAGACTCTCATTCATTTTTTAAGGCAGTATGCTATTACAGTAAGTGCACATGCTGTGTTTTGTTTACCCATTTATCCATCAATTGACTCGTACCTATCTCACTCTAAGCTTCCTATACCTTGCCCACCTACCCACCCCATTCCGAGCAGGTCCTAGCAAATTTGTTTTAACAAAGCAGAATTTTTCTCCAACACTGTAGAATGAGGTTTAGATAGGTGGTCTTTGATGTTGAGTGCCATGATTTTTTTTTCTGAGGATTGTCTGTGTTCTCTCCCTCCAGAAATACACATCTCTGAATCACCTCAACAACTGGAAAATAGGACCTCATGAAATTTAAAAGTTCCTGTGTAGTAAAGGCAGCAATCAACAGAGTGAAAAGATGGACTGTGGAATGGAAGAATATCTTTGCCAATTTTATATCTGATAGAGCATTAATACCTAGATTTTTTTTTTTTTTTTGGTTTTTCTAAACAGGATTTCTCTGTGACTTTGGAGGCTGTCCCAGAGCTAGCTCTTATAGACCAGGTTGGTCTGGAATTCACAGAGATCTGCCTGCCTCTGCCTCCCAAGTGCTGGGACTAAAGGTGTGCGCCACCACTGCCTGGCAATACCTATAATTTATAAAGAGCTAAAAATTTAAAATCCCAGACAGATAGGCAAATGAATATAACAAACATTCTCAAAAGACAAAATAGGAACCCAATAAATACATGAAAAAGTGTAAAAGTGTTCAACAGTCCTCACCATCAGGGAAACAAAAGAAAAAAAAGAAGAAATGGTGGAGGAGGAGAAGCTATAGCTGTTTAAGCCGGGCATTGTGGTGCATGCCTTTACTACCAACTCTTAGGGTGCAAAGGCAGGGAGATCTTTGTGAGCTCTAGCCTAACTTGTCTAGGCTAGGACTGTCAGGGTTACACAGAGAAACCCTGTCTCAAAAACCAAACACCCATCACCACCATCAACAAAAACAATTTCACCCTAGCTATGTAGCTATTAAAAAAATGATAACAAAGTAAGATGACGAACGCCTTTAATCCCAGCACTTGGTAGGCAGAGGCCCGCAGGTCTCTGTGAGTTTGAAGCCACATCAGGGTGAGTTCCAGGAGAGACTCCAAAGCCCTGTCTCAAAAAGAAAACCCAAAAAGATATGAATATTTAAAGAGAACTGTGTGGGGAGAGGAAGGGGGTATCAAGGTAGATGGGAGGGGTGAACAAGGAGAGATAAGGGGAGGGGGGAAATGAAGGCAAATACTGAATGCTCTCACAGGCAGAAGTTAGATTCCTGTGTACATGTTAGTAATACAACAAAACAAACAGAATAGAATAAATATCAAATGGTGACTTTCCTAATAAAAGATGGCTGTTCGTCAATGCATGTTAGGCAGTGAATAAAGACTGGTAATTCTGCAGTCTTTCTTGATCTGTTGTGGCTTAGGAAATGGTTCTCCAAAGTTGGGTCCTTGAGAGCACCCTAAGGAACAAAGTCTCTCTCTCTGACCTTCTGTTGTCCTCCTCTCTTTCATCCCTTATTCTCGCTTTCCCTGAGGCGAGCCACAGAAACTAAAATACCTTTTCCTCAAGGCAGGTCATAGAAATCAGAAGTCAAAGCCAACCATGAAACCTAAAAATATTATTTTAACTCCCCCCACCTGTCTGTATTAAACTTGTCATAAAGAAATTGTCTGACCTACTTTGTTTGATAGTAGATCATGAGACACACCTCCCCCTGTCCCCCCCACTCCATTCTAGAAAGGCTCTTGCCCCATATGCAGAAGAAAGAGCTGCACAAAAAGGCCAGAAGAATCTGAACAGACAGGCCTTGCTGGATTCCCACCCTTCCCCATAGTCTATTACAATGTGGGTATGTCGGGTTTTTTTGTTGTTGTTGTTGCTCAGTCATATTTCTACTCTGCTGTCCCTACACCATCAAACCTATGCATAAAAGTGGATAGTTCACCTTGGGTGTTTGCAGTGAGTGCATAGGTAGATATGTTTGTGTCTTTCCACAGTGTCAGAATTGTCTTAATTCACAAGCCATGACTCTAAGTCAGCAAGTTCATTTGCTGGACATGGCCATTGGCAGAAACAACCTTATTTTACATGTCAATCCCAGTTCCCTCTCCCTGCCATCCTCCTATGCTCCCCACTGACTCCCCATCCCATCTCCCACCCACTCCCTAGGGAGGGTGAGGTCATCCATGAGGGATCATCAAAATCTGTCAAGTCATTTGGGGCACAGCCTAGACCCTC